GCGAGATAATTCACAGAGAAGCGTTAATTCGTTCAAGAAACACCCTGTATACTTTTGCCTACTCGACTTCAATACTCACGATTCAGATAGCTTATCATTTGTTTTATCACAGAACTGACTCTAAGAACATTATCAATATACGACGCGTGATATTAATATTGTATTGTATATCGAATAAGAGATATCATGCAATTAGCAAAAATTGACACGAACTGAAAAACTGACGTTAATCGCTACATATCATTCGATGTCACATATTATGATTACAGGGTGATGGTTTTATTCTTGAGAAAACCTCTGAAAATTTCAAATTTTTCTATAATATGATATGGCCTGAAGTATAACAACAGATAGCACTGTGACCAAGATAAGGTTGCACAGCATGAGAATCTTGAATATCGAAAAAAGTTACTTTTTGAAGAATCTATTCTATTTTTTCCTTCGTTATTGAGTATTGGAGATAACAAAAACTGAAAATACTCTTTCATGCAACTTTTGATGAGGTTTAACCATGTGATATCAAAAGAATAGTAACTGCTTTTTCAAAAAGTTGATTATTAGGTAATTTTTCAATGCGACTTTTGAAAAATTCTCTCATTTTTTCAAATTCGAAATAGTGGGTGAAATATTTTTTGTACTATAGCGTGCGGAAAAAAAATCCTCTTTTCCGCAATATTTTTAGTGTTGAAAGTGTTTTCCGCATTAGTGCGGAAAAGTAGACTTTTCAGCACGCTAGTATAGAGAAAACAAATTGCACTATCTGTTTTATCGAGAAAAGTTTGGAATTCATGGAATAGACACACTCATCTGAAGTATAAATATCATTTATAAAATAATGCATAATTTGATGCTCTAATTTCTATCACCAGTGGGTCCTTGCCGTTCTGGTACAAACTGTGGTTATCGCGTGCGTAAAAATATCACTTTCCGTACTTATTACATACACTATTTATACTACTAGCGTGCTGAAAAAAAACCAAATCCATCTTTTCCGCAATCATATTAGTGTTTATAGTTTTTTCCGCACCATAGTGCGCTAGTAGAAAAAACATCTGTTTTATCGAAAAAGTTTTGTTTATGGAATAGTCACACTCATTACTGAAGTATAAATATTTTTTATCTACAACTGTCAAGTAATGATTATGATTTGACACTTTTTTGATTGTCATAATGACGTTAATTATCGCACTATTGCTTTTTTGAATCTATTATCGCACTAGTGCGGTAATGAGATGAGAAATAAATGTCAACCAAAATAAATCGTAATAAATCGTTTTTCAATATCGGATGATAGATCATCTTCACTTGAAGACATTTTCACTCAAGAAAGAAACTTAATGATGGTTCTGGATATCGATCTGACAATTCAATTTGACATGTATAATATCAATGAGGTACATTTAAAGATAGTTATGAAAAGTAGACAGTTGTAGATAAAGTTTTGTACGCAACGCGCGCGTGGGATACTACATTATTAACGCACTTAAGTGATTACACGGCACAGCCTACGGCTTCGTCGTGCAATCCTCACATGCGTGTGTTAATAATGTCTATATCCCACTTGTCACGTAAATAACTATTATAAAAGAATGCATGATTTGATTCTCTAATTTCTATTAGCTGTGGGTTCTTTTCATTCTGGTTCAAACTGTGGTTGAAAATCTTGAAAATATGCATGAACAACATATGTAAAAGGTGGTCCTAAAAGAAAAGAAGAAGCAGAAAGAAGCAAGTTTGACTTATTCTCAACTAGCAGACCTCGCAAACGTTGTTTTCCGATATACATTATTTCTATAAAATATTTTTTCAGTTCAATATTCATCAAGACACTATTATTATTTTATTTTCAACTTCTTTTTAGTTTCGCTATCTATAAAAACGTGTTTCTTTAGCTTTTCAAACTACCATTTATTTCAACTTCTCTTTAGTTCACTTGAATTTCCCAATTTTGACGAAAGAATCATAATATCCGACTTCTAAAACCCCAGATGAAAATTTTGAATAGAATCGGAACATAATTACAAAACTCGTCCGCAATATTGGATCTACCATCCAGAATTCCCTAATTTTGACGAAGGAATCATAATTTTTTATTCCGGAAACTCCCACTTACAGATTTTGAATAGAATCGCAATATAATTACAAAACTCGTCCGGTATATTGGTTCCACCGTCTTGCATTTCCACATCCCACCCATCCCAAGTTTTGACAAAAGAATCATATTCTCCGACCCCGAAAACACCCAGATAACAATTGAAGAGAGTTGGATCATAATTACAATTCTAGTCCACCATATTGGGTCCGCCATCTTGAATTCACTAATTTTGACGAAAGAATCATAATCTCCGACCTCAAGAACCACCAGATACCAAATTTAAATAAAATCGGATCCTAATTACAAAATCCGTCATTTTGGATCTGTCATCTTGAATTTACTAATTTTGACGGAGGAATCATAATCCCCGATCACGAGAACCCCTATAGGTACCAATTTTGAATAGAATTGGATTATAATTACAAAACTCGTCCGCCATATTGGTTCCGCCATGTTGAATTCCCAAATTTCGCCCGAATTTTCAGATTCTGACGAAAGAATCATAATCTCCGACCCCGTAAAACTTCAGGTACCAATTTTGAATACAATCGGACCATGATTATTTTCTCATGGTACCGGGATAAAAAGTATCCTATAACCATCTCGATCCTGGTTCTAACCCAGCGAGCACAAACATCCCTGGGATGTTTTGGGATGTTTTGAAAATATTGGCATGAAGATGTTATTTTGAGACGTAATATGCACTGACCAAAGAGGTCTTTGAAGAATATTGAAGTATTGTTTTTGTTCTTCTGTGGCATTTCTTTGTTTGCCTACTGAGAGGTATCCCTGGGATGTTTTGGGATGTTTTAGAAATGTAGGCATGAGGATGTTTTTTTGAGGCGTAATATGCACTTCCCAAAGAGGTCTTAGAAGGATATTGAAAGTATTGTTGTTGTTCTTTTGTTCCCTTTCTTTGTTTGCCCTACCACAACGTCTCATGTTTACGTTACAATACGATGAATTCTGATTTGTTTTCGATTTTTTTCTTCTTGTTCGCAATTGGCATTCCCGTTTGCAGCGTGTCACGCTTACATCACGCTGCTAACGAACAGAAAGGAATTTGGTGAAGTTTATTGTGTTAGAAGACTTATTTAGTTTGTAATAATGACCATCAGATGCAAGATGTGTTGTTCGGTGCCTTAGTGCAATCAATATATAAAAGTACGAATTTATCAATACACAGCTTCTCCGCAGTTGCAAAATTATGCATTGTGGAGAACCTATTTCCAATTATATGTCTGTGTGTAGTAAGCACTACTCAGAAACCGATTAAGAAGGTAATTTCATATCAAGAAAATATTTTTATGTTCAATCTATTTTTAATGCATTTTTTCATTCAAGGGAAATGGAATCCTAATGCAAAAGTTCATTTTGACAAAAGGCTTCAGAAAAGTACCTCGAAAATGGTTTTTTTACAGCGATTTAATGTGCGCAAGACGCGTTGAAAATGTTTTGTTGTGTCCATGAAAAGGCTTTGAAAAGAACTAGGGAGAAGGTAGTTTTGTGACATATCAAGGACATCTCGATAATTGCCGCCAGCGGCGGACATTGGCTGTTCTATAATAGTTCTAGTCATGTGTGAACAGAACATCGCAGTGGAGGTTCAATGTCTCGAAATCTCGTACTTTTAACATCTCTGAGATGTTTTTGTGCTCGCTGGAAATAAGCTACCTCCCCACCAATTTTCAGCCAAATCGATCCAGTAGTTTCGGAGCTTATTCAATTCATACAAACAAACAATCAAATCTTTCCTCTTCATCAAAACTACGGGAAAGCATGTCTTGGGAAATCGATTGAGATGTTTTCTAGTGATGAAAGCGGGTAAGTAAAGTGAAGGTGTCCTCACCATATGAACTTGCTACAAAACCTCTTGGAAGATCTGGTATTGTCGAAATAACCGGATTTTGGAACCGTTATTCTCTCATTGTGATACATATTCAAAAGATAATTTCAATGCAAATATGATAGAATAAAGAATTATACAGGAAAACACATACAGAAAAAAAGACGCTGCTTAAAACGACCAACTGACAAAATTCAACACTCTCACGTTTCTACTGAAATCAACAATGTAGTGAACTTGAAAAAGTATAAGAAAATTAATATCACATTAATGCATTTGGGCCTGGCCGTAGTAAAGATGAAGCTCTATGGGTATGTCTTCTATTTATGAAACTCTGAGGAATAGCTTCCCACTCCTTCATAATTACATTCACAAATGCAACAAAATTCTCTATTTCGCCCTCTCTTTCTTTCATCTTCAATTTCATTCTACTCCATACATGCTCAATCGAACTCATATCAGGAGACAAGGGTGGCCAATTCATTCTCTCAATGTCATATTCCTCTCAAAATTTCAGCATGCACCATCTTTGAGATGGTTGAGAAATCAGATTTTGTAAGTATTTTCTACTCATGATAAGACATGTTTCGTGCGGATTTTTTTTTCAGGTCATAATTGGTGGAGATTTTGAAGGGGTTGTGGGTGTTTTTCTCCCCACCTTCTACGCTACCGGAAAAAATACCACTAATATATTGTACACAAAAAAGGTACTCCTGGTCATAACCTCTAAAGTCGACCGTTTCTGAGAAAAATTCACGTTTATGTTGAAAAACAAATGTTTTATCGTAATTATTTTTTTTGTAAATAAACTACATAGGTAATGATTTCTGAGAGACATGAAAAAAATTCAATAACTCTTGAACACCCTGTATAAGGAAATCCAATTACCTAATCGATTATAAAATACATAAGTATTTGGTAGGTACTTATGGTTAGTTAGATAAAGCTCCCCTGTATTTCCGTAAGTAGGTAGGTACTTTTAGATATTCATTTTCTCCAAATTCCCATGCCTACTTATTTTGATAGATATGATAGATGGGTATATAAGTACCAACTCACCTGTTGATCTGAAGATAATCAGCCAATCAATCCGTACGTGAAAGCTTCAACAATTTGTCCAATAATGATATGAAATCGCGCTATATATTCATTTCAAGTTCAAGTTTTTTGACACTTCATAATTACATGTTCCCGACGGCAAAGTTATCAGTAATTAGATTTTCCCATAAATAGTACATGAGCTTATTTATATTGAATATTCTTTTGAGTTATTCAGCAATGTTTATTAGCAAATAAACTTTTGAATATGTACATATATAGATACATAAGTAGGTGGGTACATCATTGTAGAATATATTTAATATGTTTCTATTTCAACGAACAATGTATATCTGTGAAGTACAGAAACTATGATTATGTTCATAATAGTTATTTATACACCAAAGTAGTGAAGAATATCATTATTACCCAGGAAACAAAATTATAAGGTCTCGTGGTAATAATATTCTTCTTTTCCAAGGTTTATATTAATTTTTTTTACCACCAATAGCTATATATTTCAATCATTTCAGTTCTGTGAAAACGAAATATGGACCTAATGTCACTATGAAAGCACTTATTTTCAATTCTTAGCCTGTTATCAGTGGGTAACGTTACAGACTAAGGGGTGTTCATGTATTCGATAATATTCCATATTTTCAACACAGTATCCCCTACTAATTACTTGTCATAATCCTAAACCAAAAAATATATCATATCAGATCAAGGTCGGATCATTTGACAAAATAATTGAGGACCAGCCATGGTAATGATAAAAAAATCTTATCAAACAGATTCTTGAACTTCCTATAGTTTATATTTAATTGGGAAAGTTTATTTACAAAACACAAATATTCCTTTACTTATCAATTATACAGGGTGTCCCATTGGGAAACGGAAAATTTCCAACGGTGGAATGAGCTCATCGAGGTGGTTCCGAATATACCATTTTTGTAAGGTCCTTCAAGTCTTATATTCGAGGTATAGGGTGTTTTATCAATTATGTTCAATTCTTTGTGACGACATAACACACGAACTACCCATTTATAATGTTTTGGAATTTGGTCTACAATATCTTCCCCAATCGACACCTATTAATCACCAGAAAAATCCAGTTCCGGATTAACGAAAATTGATTATATTTTTGGACCCCCAAAAATAGCACCCTGTATTTCAGAATTTCGAAATTCCACTTACATATTTGGAAAATGCACAAAAAAGCTGAATCGTATGGTGTGCTCTCTATTTTTTCGCATACTATTTTCCTAAAGAATTTCTGATTTTGATCATCATTCAGTTATAATTATCATTGCTATTATTAATAATCTCATATAACTACTATTTATGCTATAGATACATGTCGTGTAGAAATATTCACATTTTTTAATTTGAGTTGAGCATATTTTTTCATTCGTTTTTGTGTAGGGTTGAATGGAAGAGCAGCCTCCTCCATTCTTCGAATGTGTGAGACTGAATTCCGCCCTTTTGTACCGTGGTTTCAATAAAGACATATTATTATTATTATTATTATTATTATTATTATTTAAATTCATATTATTCCAGTCACGACCCTGCGGCCTCTGACGCCACGCAGAGTCGCGATGGATAAAATCCAGTGACTACTCCCCACAGCCTGTGAGGTGAATAATCACTGAGACCAAGAACCGTGTGCCCTGAGTAGACGCAATGATCCAAGTATGACGGCCTTCTGCATTCCACCAGCCAGGATGTGTGCCCTATCACTGCACGCTGGGATTTCATGGATTCTCGAGCGCAGCGTATGTCGTGTGCCTCCTAGGGAGCCGATTATCAGGATGACCAATTCCACAGAATGGTCTGGATAGAGCATGCGGAGTTCGAAGAGAAGATCTCGATATTTGATCCGTTTTTCCTCCTCCTTCAAGACGATGTTCGGTTCGGCTAGCGCCGAAAACTCGATCACGAACAACGCTTTGGTTTGATGGTCGAGGAGGACTACATCAGGTTTGTTATCTTGTATTTGCCTGAAGGGGAGGAATGAGAAGTCCCAATGAATTCGGCACCTCTCATTCTTCACGACGGACTCAATATCCCCCGGAGCAGAGGGCAGCACTGGGGTCTCGTCTATTCCGTACGAGTGCCTCAAATGGTAGTAGAGCACTCGCAATGCCGCATTGTTTCTATGGATATAGCCCGAGACTGCATACACCGTGCAACAAGACAGCGCGTGCATAATTGTCTCGGGCGCCCTGCGGCAGGCCCTGCAATTTGTGTCAGGGACCTCCATACCCATGACACGGCTACGGTAGACGAGAGTGTTAAAAACCCCATCCTGGCATGCCATGATGAACCCCTCTGTTTCCGATTTGAGCCCGCCTGACTTGAGGAAAGCAAAAGTCAGTTCTTTGGATAAGCCCCGCTCTTCAATGGTCTAGAAGTAGACCGAATGCATGGGTTTATCCATGTGGAGCTGCAAGAGCTTTCTCACTTCTGCAGCTTCGATGCGGGCCTTCCTCCGAGCAGGCTCTAGCTCAGTTACTGAGTCCTGAGCCTCGCCTCGGAGTCGAAAATCAGAGACAATTCATCGGCTGCTCGACGTGCTGCCCTAAATAGAAAAGCTCCTACTCCTGCCTCTTCATGGGTTTCAACAATTTGCAGAAGGGGATCCGAACTCCTGATGACCTTGCAGGCGCCATCCAGAACCATTCTGTTATGGAGATACTCCAAGCTCAAGAGTCCACGACCACCCTGGTCTCTAGGTATGTATAACCGTGGAACAGACGAATTTGGATGCAGACTCCTATGAAGATGCATCATCTTGCGAGTACTTACGTCAAGTTGTCGCTGCTCGACTTGAGTCCACTTTATCACTCCAAATGAGTAAAATAGGATCGGAACAGCAAGCATGTTAGTAGCAGCGACTTTGTTATTTCCCGACAATTCTGACGAACAGATCTGCGGTTGAGATCATTCATTTGGATAGGTTATAATGGAATGTTTTCAGTTTTCCCAATCGAATTACAAAAATAATCACGAACCACCCAGTATTTTCTTTTGAAATTTGGTACATAAGCTCTCCTTCTTCTACCCAAGCGATTCACCCATCAGCCAGGGGGAAAATCCAGGTCCGAATGAACGAATATTCTGGGCCCCAAGAGTAACACCCTGGTTTTTGGAATTTCCAAAATCCGCCTACATATTTGAAAAGTGCACAAGAAGCTGAATCGAATGGTGTACTTTTCCGCATGCTCTTTCACTAATGAATTTGAGCTTTTATGCATTGCAATGTTTTGAGTCTTCCCGAATAACAAAAATTACCGCAATTTATTTTGATATAATATTGAACAGCCATCGTCAACATTTTTACCTGTATGAATACGCCAGTGGGTCTTCACATATTCCAATTGTACTATAGATTACTTCACTCATGTATTTGTGGCAATAAATTGAACAAATCAATCAACATTATCCCATATAGTACTCGACGTTCTTGGGTCCATTTTGGTCTGAATGTCCGGGACCTTTTCAAGACATACTGAAAACGTCCAGTTCCGAAAGTACTGGGGACGTACGATTCCGATGTACTGAGTACATCCAACTCTGGACGTTATCGACTTTTTGTGGATGAGATTGAATAAATTGTATAATGATAATTGAAATCAATGCATATAATTTCTACCCTCGATCTCTGATATCTATTCATGTAGTAACTTTGCAAACATAATACAATCCTCACAATCAATTTTTTACTAGCCGTACCTAATCACAAAACATCTATTTAGGTATTTTCTGCCGTGATTATATAATTCTATTAAAGTAACGATGTGAAGGGTCAATCGACATTCGCAGATAATCTCTTGTTGTATACTAATATATCAATAAGTGTTCTATAGAGAAAAAAGGTAGAGTATCTGTCCGGTAATCTAAAATTTGAAACAAATTACTTCGTATTTTCACCAACGGCGATAGATACTCTCGAGTGGCAGATCTCCACGAGAGATCTGGGAATTGGCCCAGAAATACAGATTATATCATCAAAATACCAAAACGATTCTACAAATACCACATTGGTGGAAGTGACCTTACCTGGAATATCACCGAAGTTAGGCAACACCATAGTAAATGAAACAGTCAATTGGGTACTTCAAACCAATGCTAATGCTAATAAGTGCTGCTATTGAGTCTCTAAACCCAACCTACCTGACCTCAAAGGCGGCTTTACAATGCCGTAAAGCCCTAGATGAGCTGACGACTAGAATAAGAGTCAATGTTTTGTCTGGGTACCCGGCGACAGGGACATAGCAGGCAATTGTATGGCGGACGAGCTAGCAAGAGCTGGTACGACGCTCGCAGCTATATCCGCTAATACTAGACCAGGGGCACGTATCGCTGAACGGAGGTTGCTCCTCCGGAAGGAAGTGGCCTGCCTAACCAATCTTAGATGGCGGGAGGAGCCTTCTTGCACCTCGTCTAGACAGGTATGGCCGCAGCTTAACCTGAGACGCACTAGAGATATTTTATCTCTTTCCAGGAACTCCATTGGAAACGCGAATGCGGCCATCACTGGACACTGGCTTGGAGGATGTCATGCTGCACGTATGGGAATCCTACAATGTAATGACTTCTGTAGAAGCTGGAAAGACGAGGAGGAGGAAGAGACGATGGTCCACTTACCCTGTCAATGCCCTGCCCTATCCAGGAAAAGATCTTCTGCTCTCGGGCAGCCCAATTTCGACAACCTATCCGATCTTCAGTCGGTTGGGATCAAAAGCCTGATGCTGTTCATTAACAGCAGATACTGGTACTGACGGTAGTGATGGGGGTGGTAACCACCCCATACGGCATCACAGCGGGCCTCTGGCCTACGTATGGGTTCCACCCCGGACCACCGTGTTAACCTAACCTAGAGTTCCTAAATGTGATTGACACATAACCACAAACAATTTTGAAGCAAATCATATGTTTTGCCAGACAAGGACAAGAATATGATTTTCGCTTAGATGAAGGATCCTCGCATCTTCCTTCCTTCACAAGTCCTGGGAAGAGTACATCCATATATCTTTCTCTGTCTTTGATTGTTGTAGGAGAGTGCATAGCGTCTCCTCGAGTGGGTAAAAGGAATACGATAAATTGATTAGAAAATTATTTCTTCTCGAAAT